AACAATAGAGAATTTTTTAAAATTTTATGATGGGCAGAAAGAATTGTAGTTTTTTTGTCTTTTCCCATTACCAAGTGTCTGTACTCCAATAATCTTTGTAGAGTTTTTCAAATTAATTTTTTGTTGAGATTTTTTCTTGTGAAGTAAAGATGCTTTTGTTTCAAGCTCTGATCTCCTTGACTGGAGTCAGAATTTTTTCTACTAAAAAATTGCATTATTGAAATTGCGCATCCGTGGCACTTTTAAATTTATGATTAGAATTTATGAGTTTTTTCTTGTTTTGATTTGTTTTCATTGCCAAGCGTCTTTGCATAAAACTTCTCCAAAAAACCCAGTTATACATTAAGCTAGTTTTGTTTTAAAAAACTTAAAACTTCGAAAATGGGAAACCATTTTGACTGAAAATAAAGCGAAAAGCATTGCCCAGTGCCACTACTTGAACTTTAAACGCTTACATGGAATTCGACGAAAGGTTAAGGTTGCATCATCCCTTATGTTGCAATACAAAAATGGCGTGAGCGTTCGGATGATCCGACTTTAAATTGCGACACGCGAACAATCATGACGACGCATTTAAGTTGCGACAGAACGGAAAATGAATCACAAAATATGTATGCACGCGAGAGGAGGTGCGAAAGGATATAACAAAAGTAAAATGGTGTGTGAACAAAAGTTCATGGTAAGTTCATAGAGGCAATCTCTATTTACCAAGTGGGCCAAAATCAATGTAAGCTAATGGATGACAGCCATAATTGGCCTGAAATATATATAAGAGATGATTGGTTCAAGGGGAACTCAAAGATCTAAGGTGCTTATCTCGCAGGCTAAATAAACACGCCAAATAGCGAGAACGAGGTTTTCTGTCCAGTTTTCAATCAGACAGCCTAAGTTTAAGTTGATCTTCTTGTATCTGGAAATAAAAACAAATTATTGGGCCAAAGAATTAAACTTCTTGGTAAATCATATTGTAACTTGGTAAGTTTGTAAAATCAAATTTTTAACTTTTTAAAATTGTGGCTTCGTCTGGATGATAGAGGATCTCATTTTTGTTACATACTTTTTCAGACCGAGCTCTCGTGGCGCTGAGCAAAAGTTCCTTGCACACAAGAACATTAAGCATAATTGCTCTAATTAAGGAATCAGTGAAAAATGATCAATGAGTTGAAGAAAAAAAAATTGTCCTTTTTCCTTGTAGATACGCGAGTAGCAATTTTTGATGATAAGGCGGTCGCCCCAACACCATCTCCTCAGGATTTTGAACTAGGTTCGCTCACAGCCCAAAAGTTCTGCCTTTAGAACTATTTCAGGACATCCATTTTAAGTCATAAAAAGATCAAAAGTGGAAGCATGTTTTTCCAAAAATAGTTGCATTAATTTTTTTTCATGACAATGAAGTTTTTTTTTGTTTAAGGAGAGCTTTTTAAAAATGTTCAAAATGTTTTTTTTTCAACAATCGCCACTCGCGGGGGTAAGTAGATTTGTCCATAGGCTCTTTTCTACCTCCGACTGTCAATTTTAATTTTGAAAACTATTTGAACATTGTCATAAGGCAAGGAAACTTGGCATGGCTAAAAAAATAACAAAACTGAACATATTTGTACTTCAAATTTGTTCACATCGTAACATCACGCATTTAGCCGTAATAAAACGTAGAACAACTACAAAATTAGGAAAATTGAAAGGCGGGGTAAATGTGGAAACGAGCCTGAATGTTTCCTTGAAGCAATGAGTCCTGATTAAATTGGTTTGCGATAAATTATTGCTTACAACGAAAATCGAGAAAATTTCTCTTGTATCACAGACATTTTTTAAAGAAAAATCAGGATAAGTTTTAGGGAAAAGTACACAAGCAACAAGTTCAGCCTGACTATCTGTCCAAAAATAGACCTCAATTTTCAACCACTGAAGTTTTCAAAATATAGGAGTTAGAGCCATATACAAAATCTTACTTTTTTCGTATAATACTGTGTGAGATTCTGTAGCTTACGCTTCCTGGTATATCTCATTGCGTAGATTAAAAACCATTTTCATGCCATTTAAGCAACTGGTTTGCTTATCTCAGCACATATTTGTTTTTGAGCGCAAAAATTACAGCAAAATATAAAAAAATCGTTCAATCTATGGGAAACTGCTTGTCATACGATTCTTTTATTGGAAAAAAATGCTACTCATACTATTTTCATACAACTACTTTCTTCTAAAAAATAGAATGGAATTGTATGACAATCATTTTTACATTGAACAAAGTTGTCTGACTAACCTTTTTTTTATCAACCCGAGAATATATACATGATTTGAAATGTTTCCACAATGATATAAAATTAAAAACTATTTGCCTATTTTTTTGGTTGAAATCTTTGGTGTTGCCTTTATTTTTTGGTGTTGCCTTTATTTTTTTGGTTGAAATCTATTTTTATTTTCACATAAAAATCAGATGCCTCAAAGTGCTAGGATAAAAATTAGGATCACAGCTCCTCAATTTATTTTCTTATATATTATGTGCAATAATCAAACAAATATGTACATATCACTTTTCATTGCTTTACTGTATCACTGGTGTTCTATGCAAATCAATTGATGTTCAATTTCCCCCAAACATCAATTGATGGTAAGGATTATATAAGAAAATTAAATAAACATAGCATCTGTCTTGTTCCGTCCATAGAAAATGGGGAGGAACTTTGTATTCGGGTGTGTTTTAGTTTTTTCTTCTTTTTGTTTTCCACGCAAAATCCGGTACCAAAATTATCGCAGTGGGTTGAGTGATATATCATATTAAAGCCCTTACAGTTTTGATTCGAAGCAAAATGAAAAATTTTGAAAATTTTTTCCCAGTGTCGAGAAAAACCGGTTGAAATTTTTCATTATTTGTCTTATTTCGAGCAAATAAAGCGATTGCGATTGAGCAGTCTTATGATGGCCTAAAACCTTGTAATAGCCTAATTTAAAACGTGAAAATTTGGACAACGTTAATTTTTTTTGAGTATTTTAACGCTTTTTGGAATCATAACTTTCAAAATTTCAAAAAAAAAAATTTCATAAATTTTTTTCCAGTGATTTTTTTAACAAAAATTGTTTTTCATTTTGCTTATTTTAGTATGGCTGTCTAATATAATTAATCACCGTTGTTTGTACCCCAGTTTTTATACCTAATATGCCTAATCCACCACGCCGAAAAAAAAACGACGATAGTTTGAAAAAACATATTTTTTTTTAAAAAACTGTGCTCGGAACATTCTGGAAAGTTCAGAATGTCCCGGACTTTCCTTTCTTCCTCATTTTTTATTTTTTTTTATACCAAGATATATTATATATTCTAGTCATTTGATTTTTTAAAAAACCTTAATCCTGCAAACAGTTAATTCCAGCAAAAGTTCGATAGCATCATAAATTTTCGAAAAAAAAAATGATAACCGGTTACTGTGCAAGTAGCACAAAATGCTCCGACCATAGTCTTAAAAATAATTTTTAAAAAATTTTTTCCAGAGTTAAGGCGTTTTTGACAGTCGGAATAAAATGGCAAATTTGAAAACAATTTTTGTAGAAGCATGGCTAGAAAACCAAAAAAAACGTAAATACTTTTCATAAACTAACTTTACTCGAGTAAAAAAAAATTTTATGGCCTAAATTAAGCATAAATAAGCTATTGTAAGCCTGCTCGCTCACCTTATTTGCTCAAAATTAGACTTAAAATCATAAATTTGAAACGGGTTTTTCTTGACACTGAGAAAAAAAACTTTTGAAGCACGACTGAAAGCGTTTTATTGTAATAAATCACTCAACCCATTCCGATGATTATTTATGTTACCTGATTTTGAGTGGAAACACCCGAATTCAAATTTCAATGGCCAGAAGAATAATCGTCATTTTCATTTATTTTATATTTTCTCTGCGCTAGATGTATCTTTTAATTTTTGCCTGTCTGTGTTGAAATTCTAAACAACCCCAAAAAAACTTGGGTTAAAACTGGGTCGATTTGTTCGTGCGTTTTCCGAGCAGCTCAATTTTCATAGACTTAAAAAGTAGGACCGTTTCTTTTGAACAGAAACAGGAGTTTGTAATTGGGTGTTTGCCAGTTTGGACAATTTGCTGCTCATACTCAATGCAAGAGTATAAGAAAAGTCATTCTTTGCTTATTTGTGCAGAAATTTTTTGTTTCAAAAACTTAATGATAGACGTTTTTAGAAACCATGAAGAAGAGCGAAGCAGCTAAATTTATGTCTGTATCATCTATCTATCTGTCTGATTCCTGACTTCTGTTTTAGCGGGGAAAACTTCGACCATCTTTCTGCATCATTCTGTTTGGACTGACTGAACTAAGCGACGACTTTTCACTGACTTCGAAAACCAAAAAAAATCAGGAAAATGAGTGAAATTGAGATCAACTGTGCAGTGTTGCGAGCACCGTCCAAGTCTTGCGTGTCAGGCGTGACCCAGAGACCGATCGACGAGCCAGTGAGTACACGTTTTTTTTTACTGTTCTACTCGAAAAGGCCCTCCCCCTCCCCTCTGTCGATTTTTTAAAATCAATTGTTTGTTTTCAAGGACATATGAACTTCATATATAGCCTTTTAGACCCCGACTCACACCCCCCTTAAAACTAATGCCTGTCTGATGGAGGGAACTAAGAAGATATAGAAGAGCCTTAAAATTAGTGATCACATTATGATCATTATTGAATACTTTTCGAGTGAGCCGCCAGTATCTCGAACTGATTGTTATTTCTGGGAAGCTGGAGAAACTAAAACTTTGCCTCGGAAGATGGTGTTGGCATTCCACCAGAAGTAGAGGCGCATTTAACCCTGATGTGCCTAATAATTACCCTAAAGGATAAATAATGAGAATTGATAAGAAACCATTTTAGTGCATTTTGCAATATACAGCATAACAACAGAATATATCCTCAGTCAATTGTAAAGGAAACTCAGCCCTCCATTTGCAATTTCCACCCAATTTTTGAAGGGCTCTTCGCTGACTGCTGAGTTGACAAGGGTCCATTAGGACAGGGCGGGCGCAAAGCACAGCAGCAGACAAATATACCCGAGTCCGCATATTGAATTTGTTCCCATTTCCCTTGCTTGTTTCAAATACCGTTATTCCCATTTTCTACCGGGGATAGTGCAATACTTAAGCTGCATTTACGCTATTCAAGTATATTATGTACCAAGGTATATCTTATATGCACAGCAAATATATCAAACAGGAAGAATTTTTTGTGGTTTTGCAAGTTGGTTATGATTGGGAAATATGCATAATTGCAAGTTAGTTCTTTTGTTGCTCAAAATAGATTGAAGATCAAATTTTCTATTAATAAGTGCCGTGAATTTTTTATTAAAATATTGTGTATTTCTCTTGTCGTTAGCACCGTTAATAATAAAGGAAAAAATAAAAACTACTGGCTCAATTTTCCATATTCAGAAGTTATCGTATATTCCATTCTGTTTTTATCTTTTTTTTGGTTGCAGTTTATTTCAATTGCACATTGCTTACTATTACAAGTAGTTCAAGGAATAATTATAATGAAATGGGTGAAGAAGATTTCATGAGCAACGGGTGAACTACAGGGACAATATTAAAAAATATCATATTTATTATTGTTTGATTTCCTCCAGCAAAAGAAGGATGCGAATATAGTGATTTCATTTTTTTATTGGCCTTTTTCGTATTTTAAGATTCCCAATTGGTTTCTGGGGAATTGAAGACAGCTTTATTTATTACCTGTCACCAACTGATACATATATATGCTCTTTATCAAGTGGATTTTCAACCAAATCCTCTGCTTTACCAATTAGCTTCAAATCTAAATTCGTCTAAGCCTTTTAGATTTTTCTCGAAGTTAGAAACGCCGTCTTCAGGTCATATTTGATCTAAAAGAAGTTCCTAATTTTCTCCACTTTGGTGAGATAATTACAATCTTCAGTGGTTTTCTGCGTTTTTTTACTCTAGACTCAGTTTTAATACAATATGGACGCGTCGCCATGTGAGACCAGCTCACACCAACAGTATAAGTTCAAAATGCAGTCAGAGACTTTTCACAGCTACTATCAATTTAGTAAATATTTGTACACATGACAATCTACTGCAAATTTCAAAATATCTGTGACCATTCGTTAATTGAAAATCTGGTGTTTGGTTAAAATCACTCTTAGTTATCCCTAGTTTAACCAATTGTTCGATTTCAGATCCAATTCCTTAAAATAAACTTCCCTTAGTCGTAAGTTATGGCTCAACATAATGAGTGTTTCTTTGAAGGGTCTCATTCCATTAATATTGCGTTGATGAGAAATGTGTCTGCTAGAGTAGGCCATGGACTAACCCTCAAGAACATCGCAGAACCGGTATGTATTTAGAAGCACTGTTTGTCGAAAGTTTCTTTGTATAGCTAGAACATCCGCTAAAATATATCGAAAATCTCAAACTCTCAAAATAGAAAGAACAGATTTTTCTCTAACTGATTAAAAAGGTGGTATTTTTTTTACAAGTTGGACTGTACAATTAAATTATAAGATGGCTGTTGCGACTCCTTCGACAGGAAGGACAATATGTTCTTGTTTGTTATCTTATCAGCTAATTTGTTGTGTTGTGACTGCAGGTGAAAATAGAGGGGGCGATGGCTGAGCACGAGTACACGAAGGAAGTGGTGAAGAAAGTAGGCCTCAAACTGTACGAAGTGGAGGCGGACGAGGAGTACCCCGACTGTGTCTTCATCGAGGACCCCGTATTCTTCCTGGGTGCATAAAAATAACACATACATAACTACATAAACCAATCAATTTAATGAAACCATTAGATCATTTTCTACTCATCATTTAAAAAACGATAAATATGAGCTGACTGCTTAGAAATAATGCATTTTCGAAATTTTTGAAAGCAAAATGTTGAAGCTTTGCAAAGGTTTTGGGGGAATTTTTTTTAATCGAAAAGCTACCTTATGGAAATTTACAGGAAAATACATGGTTGTTTGAGTTCAATTAAGTCTTAGTTTCTACGTGAGTCTACTATAAAATATTCGACCAACCCTGATGTTAGATCCTAAGCAAAAACATGTGTTGGGTCATATTCTAGACGGAGTGGCCTTTTTCCCTCAGGCGGGACACCCCTCCAGGCGAGGAGAGAAGGGGGCTGTGCTGGAGTTTGTGAAGAAACACTTCCCCACCCTCAAGTGTGTGGAGATGACGGGGGAGGGGTACATGGATGGGGGAGATATCTGCTTCCTCGGAGGGGAAAGTAAGATATCACTGCCACTATTCAACACGAGTCCAACTGTATGTTCAACTGTCAAAAATTAAAAACCGTCAAAAGTTTGAAACGTTACAACCAAATCTACAACTTTGAATCGTCAAATAGACAAAACAGAACTTGAAGAAAGCCAAGTTGTAGCCACGTTTTCAAAGAAAGCCGCGTTTTCAAATAAAAATTTGAAAACGTGACGACTGATGGAGAGCCAAGATCAAACCTCTGATATAGATTAAATAATGTAGATTGATCGCTATTATATTGTCTTTCTTTCAAATCAAGTTACCCATATCTTTTGCTAGAGAAGGAGATTCTGTGTGGAGTGTCGACGCGAACGAACGAGGAGGGAGTGAGGCAACTGCAGGCTGCATACCCCGACTACACCGTCACCCCCATCCCCATTCCCACAGTGGAAGAGGGGGGACTGCTGCACTTGATTACCCACTGCTCCAGATACGCTTCCGGACCATATCTGGCCATTGGCAAATCAGAGGCTAGTCAGAGGGTGAAAAAGTGAGTTTTTTTGTCATAGTTATTGCCACATGTATGAAAATTTTTAGGACTCCACTTGTAGAAACACTTGTCTGAATCCTGTCTGTACAAAACAGTCCCATACAAAGCAGTCCGGAAAAGTATGAAATTGCACGAAAAAACAGTCCAATACAAAACAGTCCGAAAAATTGTCCCAAGTAATAATTGTTTTAAAAAGCCAGCCAGGCCGAGAATTGTCCTTTGTTCAGCAAACATAAAGAAAAAGTAACCGCCGCATTCGCGCCAACGTGTTGCGAGCTTGCCAACAGAGGGTAGGACTTAATACGAAATTCAGAGCCGGTTATCACCGCAAAGAGGCGACGCGCGCGCAGCGCGCCCACCGGCGACCTTAAACAACCGGACTGTTTTGTATTGGACTGTTTTTTTCTACATTGGCTAGTAATAACTGAGCACAGATTGTTACGTTCATTGAGGATAAAATATAAAGGGATGCAGTAGCAAAACTTGGAGGGCGCTGCGCGCGCGTTTTTTCGATCAAACAGATTTTTTGAGTTTTCAGAAAAAGCTTTCTTTTGAGCTTTTTTTTTCTGGTCAAAGTTGTGGTTCTTAAAAGGGCCTTTATAGGGGAAAAAAACAATTAAGTCGACCTATAAAAAGGCTGGCATATGAAGTGTTTTTTTGTTCTGAAGGAACATCGAAGAGCGTGCTATAAGCAAGGTGGAGTTCTTCGAGGTGCCGGATGACTGGGCTGCGAACTGCATCTACGTGAATGGGTACGTGCTGCACTGTAGCCAGGAAGAGTACCCTGAGTCTTTCAAGGCATATCAGGAGAAGTTCGGAGACAAGGCCATTCCTCTCAAGAACAAGGAGTTCGACAAGATAGACGGATCCCTCACCTGCCGAGTCAGACTCCTCAAGTACCCACTCTGAGATAAAAGATCAAACACCAGATCACACACCAAATATTGACCAATTCAAGAGACGAGAACTCACGAACAAAGACCAAAGCTACGACTGATAAGACACGACAACTGAACTTTGATTAATGCGATTGGTTTAATTAGCAACTAATTTCAATATATTTTGTTTTTCAATCTTTTTTTTTATCAAATTTTGAGTGATACCAAACTTGCCGTGTTAAGCCTCCACTTAACTGCTAAAACTCGAGTCTCGGTTGAAACCACTCTGAATTCCTCTTTGAGAGCGTTTAGAACTTTGACTCAATTTTAATAAACTTTGACAATCCTCGAAACTCAACGAAGAAAAGTAATTCAAGTTATTTTTTGAACCTTAATAAATTGGGGTGGACTGATCTAATTCAATTGATATAAGTTTTCCTCTTCAATTTCCTATCAAGTAAAGGAATTCAATACTTAATAGAGTTTTGTAGTTTGATCTTCAATTCGAGATATTTGCGCAGAAAGTGTTTTTTTTGCTCGTATAAAAACACGCAGCAAATTGAAGTTTTTGCAATTTTCGACCATATAACCAAATTTTGACTATAAGAAGCTTTCAGAGATAATATTCACATATTTTTACAGATCCAAAAATCAAAAAACAAATGAAAATAAGACATGAAGAGTTCATACATTTTTGGATCTTCTAACAAGGATAGCTGGATACTGCTAGCCTTACCGAGCAAGTATTTGTTAAAAAACGGCTCAAAAACAAAAAAATATTCTAAAAGCAAATTGAAAAACTTTCAATACTTTTTCTAAATTTTTGCAGTATTTTTTTCCCACTTTTGAAATTTTTGATTCCTAAAATGGCCCTAAAAGTTTCCAGAAAACACTTTTACTCGAGTAAAATTAAGTAACGACCAAACTCAAGCTAAGCCATCAAAAGCCTGCAAGCTCAACTTATTAGCTCGAAATTTGACCAAAAATCAAAAATTTCAAACCGGTTTTTCTCGACGCTGAGAATTTTTTTTGAGTTATTCAAATAGCGACTAAAAGGGTTTTAATATGATATATCACTCGACCCATTCGATAATTATTTTGGTACCTGATTTTGCGTGGAAAAAATACAAGCCTTAATACTAAGTTCCGCTACATTTTTATATGGTCAGAATAATTAGCAACATATTAGCAACAAATTAGCAACATAATAATTAGCAACGGAATAATTAGCGCTGGAAGAAGATTGCAGTTTGCATTGCATAGGAAAAACTTTAAGAGAACTTTAAGCTTTTTAATTATATTTATTGGTTAAATCATTACACTTGCTGCTAGTACGCAAGACAAATCAAATCTGAATAAAATTTATAAAATCAACATGAGATGTGTTTAACAGAATCACTGATTTATTTCAACTTCAGTGAAACTTTCAACAAGACACATATTTTGAGCAAGCTCAATTCAAAGTTTTTTTTATGTGTAATTTATCAACTCTGATTTGAAACAACTCCATTTTTTCTCTTACAGAGTTACAAGGTTGCAAAAGAATGGAATAGATAGAATTCATCACAAAGATCAAACAAATTATTTCAGAAAAATTTTTACTTGCAAAGTTTAAACAAAAACATGACTCAAGGGTCACCTAAAATTTCTAATTCGAATTGATAGTCGCTTCAAAACAGCAGATTGCTCTTTTTGAATATTTATATCTGCTCCACCTACTATTTATACAGCTTTTGAAAAATTTATTGATCAAAGTCTTAATATTTTGAAAAAATTCTGACTTTAAAGCTGGAACCTAATTCAAATAGTTATTTGTAAATTCGCGTTTGCCGTGTTGTCGGCGTTCTATGCAATCTTTTCTTTTAAAAATTGTATGTCAGATAGCTGCTGAGTGGAAACTGCTTTGGAGCTAAAGGCTTGCAGTTATACTTAAAATTTCGAATTGAGGCACCTATTTGATCCTTTTTAGTGTCAGCAATTTGAAAAACTTTCAAATATTTTTTCTAATTTTTTGCAGAATTTTTTTCCCCACTTTTGAAATTTTTGATTCCTAAAAAGGCCCTAAAAATTTCCGGACTGTTTTGTATTGGATTGTTTTCTTCTACATTGGCTAGTAATAACTGAGCACAGATTGTTACGTTCATTGAGGATAAAATATAAAAGGATGCAGTAGCAAAACTTGGAGGGCGCTGCGCGCGCGTTTTTTCGATCAAACAGATTTTTTGAGTTTTCAGAAAAAGCTTTCTTTTGAGCTTTTTTTTTCTGGTCAAAGTTGTGGTTCTTAAAAGGGCCTTTATAGGGGAAAAAAACAATTTAGTCGACCTATAAAAAGGCTGGCATATGAAGTGTTTTTTTGTTCTGAAGGAACATCGAAGAGCGTGCTATAAGCAAGGTGGAGTTCTTCGAGGTGCCGGATGACTGGGCTGCGAACTGCATCTACGTGAATGGGTACGTGCTGCACTGTAGCCAGGAAGAGTACCCTGAGTCTTTCAAGGCATATCAGGAGAAGTTCGGAGACAAGGCCATTCCTCTCAAGAACAAGGAGTTCGACAAGATAGACGGATCCCTCACCTGCCGAGTCAGACTCCTCAAGTACCCACTCTGAGATAAAAGATCAAACACCAGATCACACACCAAATATTGACCAATTCAAGAGACGAGAACTCACGAATAAAGACCAAAGCTACGACTGATAAGACACGACAACTGAATTTTGATTAATGCGATTGGTTTAATTAGCAACTAATTTCAATATATTTTGTTTTTCAATCTTTTTTAATCAAATTTTGAGTGATACCAAACTTGCCGTGTTAAGCCTCCACTTAACTGCTAAGACTCGAGTCTCGGTTGAAACCACTATGAATTCCTCTTTGAGAGCGTTGAGAACTTTGACTCAATTTTAATAAACTTTGACAATCCTCGAAACTCAACAAAGAAAAGTAATTCAAGTTATTTTTTGAACCTTAATAAATTGGGGTTGACTGATCTATTTCAATTGATATAAGTTTTCCTCTTCAATTTCCTATCAAGTAAAGGAATTCAATACTTAATAGAGTTTTGTAGTTTGATCTTCAATTCGAGATATTTGCGCAGAAAGTGTTTTTTTTTGCTCGTATAAAAACACGCAGCAAATTGAAGTTTTTGCAATTTTCGACCATATAACCAAATTTTGACTATAAGAAGCTTTCAGAGATAATATTCACATATTTTTACAGGTCCAAAATTCAAAAAACAAATGAAAATAAGACATGAAGAGTTCATACATTTTTGGATCTTCTAACAAGGATAGCTGGATACTGCTGCCTTACCGAGCAAGTATTTGTTAAAAAACGGCTCAAAAATGAAAAAAGATTTTAAAAGCAATTTGAAAAACTTTCAATACTTTTTCTAAATTTTTGCAGCTTTTTTTTTAACCACTTTTGAAGTTTTTGATTCCTAAAATGGCCCTAAAAGTTTCCAGAAAACACTTTTACTCGAGTAAAATTAAGTAACGACCAAACTCAAGCTAAGCCATCAAAAGCCTGCAAGCTCAACTTATTAGCTCGAAATTTGACCAAAAATCAAAAATTTCAAACCGGTTTTTTTCGACGCTGAGAATTTTTTTTGAGTTATTCAAATAACGACTAAAAGGGTTTTAATATGATATATCACTCGACCCATTCGATAATTATTTTGGTACCTGATTTTGCGTGGAAAAAAAACAAGCCTTAATACTAAGTTCCGCTACATTTTTATATGGTCAGAATAATTAGCAACATATTAGCAACAAATTAGCAACATAATAATTAGCAACGGAATAATTAGCGCTGGAAGAAGATTGCAGTTTGCATTGCACAGGAAAAACTTTAAGAAAATTTTAAGCTTTTTAATTACATATATCGATTAAATCATTACAATTGCTGACATTACGCAAGAGGAATCAAATATGAATAAAATTTTATAAATCAACATGAGATGTGTGTGATTTGTTTAACAGAATCACTGATTTATTTCAACTTCAGTGAAACTTTCAACAAGACACATATTTTGAGCAAGCTCAAATCAAAGTTTTTGTTATGTGTAATTTATCAACTCTGATTTGAAACAACTGCATTTTTTCTCTTACAGAGTTACAAGGTTGCAAAAGAATGGAATAGATAGAATTCATTAAAAGGATCAAACAAATTATTTCAGAAATTTTTTTACTTATTTCAGGAAAACCCTTGTAGACAGTACTTTTAGGTTGGTTGTTAAAGAAGAATGAGTCTTATCTTTCAAGAAACTTAAATGAGACGAGTCATCTAGCTAGAACGAATTGCAATGAAAATTTTTTTCGAAAAATCGTCCATAAAAATTTCAATCATCAAATAAAAAATTACAATACTTGGTTTTTTTTAAAATGGCCCAAATATTTGCAGAAAACTTTAGAAAAAAAAGTTCTGAGAAAAAGAGTGTACGGGTCTTTGCATGAAAAATAATAATTGTTGGAAAAGACATTAGGGTAAAAAAACTGAAACAAGAATTTTTTTAAAATGAGTCCAAGTTTCTCAGAAAATTCGGGAAACTTATATTTTTATTGTAGGAAGCCTATTAGAGTTTAATGGAATCTTTTGTCCAACACTTTTGCGGTAACTTTGCTGAGCCAAGTAGATAACACTCAGATAATTTTCAAAGCACATGTTATGAACCGACGCAAAAAATTTCACAGCATTCTTGATTTCTGCAAAAAATTTTAGCTGTTATACTTAAAGATTAAACTATGCAAACTTGATCGCTCTCCTATCTATTTCAGCCAAGAATCAAAATAAAAACTCAGTCACGAAGAGTTCTATGATCAGTTCCCTTATATTCATTGATCTGCTGCTTTTGCATGCAACAGGTTCATACATTTTTGATAAAAACTTCTCAGTGCCAATTAAACCATTAACAATGACCACCGTCTAACAAGCAACAAATTTTGAGCATGCTATAGACGAACTTAAGAGTTTTCATAGTAATCTTGATTTATGCGAAAAAATTAGGCTGTTTTTTAAAGACTATACTTCATCGTTTTTTTTAATCGTTGGTCTATCTTTTTAAAAATTGACAAAAATTTTGTGCTCTTGTCTGCGCTCTTGTCAGATTGGTAAAAAATGAAAAAAAACTAAGCAGTTTTGAATTAATGATGCGAAAATTGATAGTGTGGTAGATAAGCCCAAAAAAGGGTTTAAATTTTC